GAGAAGAGGCCAGCACCCTTAGGAAATCACATCCAATAAAAGTACTAACAACACAAGTGGAATCAACTTGGCTTATGTCAGAGCTCTCAAAGTACTGCAGTTGTGGGGCTTTTTCCCTTTCTTTTTTTGGGGCAAAAGGAGATAAGAGGTAAGAACTGCTTTTGGGTTGCTCCGCAAACTGTGAGAACTGAGGTTATTTCATTGTACCACAGTAGTCCGAGACATGCCTCAGATTCTTCCAGATTTGAATTAAAGGCTAAAAGGTAACAGCCCTTGAGCCATAGATGTCTTTGTCACTTAAAGTTAGCAATGGATAAATATTTCAGGCATCACTGCTTAAGGGAAGGAAGCATCTAGAAAATCATTGATATATCAAAACAGCTGCTTATTTTTAAACAATTACAGCTTACCCCACAGCGCTACTGCTGAGTTGCCCCCAGAAGAAACTTAGCAAATCAGTAAAACCAAAATTTACTATTTTGAAACAAACTGTGACAAGATCCTCAAAAACCTTTTAAAATGTTGGGTTTTGTTGTTTCTTTTTCCCCCCTCACGAAAGTGACAGGCTGCAGGTTTATTTTAATAATTACAAAGTTGACAAAGTCTTCCTCAATGCAGACTCTGTAAACTTATAGTCCTCTCATATTCTGGGCCATAATGGATTTAAGTGTTCCTTTCTCTTCAAATCTTAAGCTGAATGTGTTCCTTGGAAGAAACTACATGGAAAAAAAGAGCCTATCTTCAATTCAAAATAACTGTAGCTGTTCATTTTAGGGCCCTTAACCCTTTTACTCAGGCTGAGTTACTGGTAAAAAATAGTAATTGCCACTGAGATGACCAAGAACTGCTGCCAACACAAATTACATGGCACATATCTTCTGACAGCTTAGGATCTGAAATTTTTCCTACCTTACCAACCCTACTCTTTCAAGGAGCAAAAAAGTGAAAGCTTCCCATTACAGTAGCAAAAACCTCTGCAGAATACCTTGACCCACTTGCACCCAAGATAGATGAATTTCTGTAAAATCAAAGTTTGCAGTGAAAATGTAAACAAAAAATACTTTTATTCTGGGTCTACTCTAAAAAAAAACTACAGAGGAAAACAACCATTTTATTTATCTGATACACAAGTTGTATGTATTTGGAACTCTGTTTATAACCATTGATAACATTATCACACTCTTTTTCCCATTGAAGAGCTTAAGAGTTTATAGAGAACAATTAATTTGATTGAACAAGACCCATATGTGCAAATTCTCTGTGGGGAAAAAAAAAGCATTCCCAGATTTAATGGATTTTGATTTGTGCTGAAGAACTCTAGTTGGTTCTTTGTAGGATAAAATTTTTGAGATCCAAACATTTAGAAGAAATGTTTCTTAAGTCAGTACATAGTATGTAGAGGTAACTGCAAGATAAACCAAGCAATATAGTTTTAAGTCTCTTTAGAGTGCACCTAAATTAAGTGTAAATTAGTTTTCACATGCCCAAACAATGAAACACAGACCTTGCTCAGTTGTCTTGCATCTTTACTACTGTCACAAGTAACATTGATTCAATGTTTTAACCAGAATTTTACAAGAACTTTGATTTTTCAGATTGTAAAGTATGCCAAGTAAGCATAATTATAATCCATCTGTTCCCATGTGGATGAGGGATACATTTATTTAAACATGGTAGAAAAACATGAAGAACCACGTAACCTAATAGAGAAAAAGAGCACCTCTAACATTCCCATCTAAATCAAACTTCAAAATTCATGCTTTTAACACTACCTAGAGACATGAAGATTCATCAGAGCTTGGATTACACAGCACGAATACCCAGAAAACAGCTCCACCAGACTTATGTCAGGGCTGGGGCGGATGGGGGGAGGAAACAAAAAGATGAGGAATACCCAAGTTCTCTCCTGGTTGACAAAATGGACATTCATAAGTGTGCAGCATTACGCAAAACTAAATTCAGTTCACTTGCAAGGAATTTTCAAATTAAGGTAGTTCTCAGAGATGAAATAACTTGAAAATTTTTAATTCCTACTTACTTTTTTAAAGTGAGTAGCTGATTGCACTTTCCTAACAGGCTGCATCAGTGCATCACGTACAATGATGCTTATATCTGCACCAGAATAGCCATCAGTTTTCTTTCCAAGCTCTCGATAATCTGATTCCGTTAGGAGATTTGGAGTTGACCCAAGGTGAAGTTTGAACATTGCAGCCCTGGCATGGTCTTCAGGTAAAGGAATATAAATACGCTTCTCAAACCTGGTTTAAAAGAGAAAAAAAAAATGTTCCTCAGATGCTAGCTCTTGCAGGTGCACAGTGGAAAGAAGCTTATGCAAATAAGTATACAGCTTGTTCCTAACAATATTAGAAAGAAGCAGTTTCAGTATTATAAACCTTCAAAAAAAAATCTAAGGCAAATATTCAACAACCTGTTCTCATAAATAATACTATCGGTAGCATAAGCTAAGATCCAGAATATAATAACTATTTCCTTTTCATGACAAAGATAATCTCTTCAGATTGAAGTTTTTCCAGATTCTCTCCAGCAGAGTTTGTGTTTTAAAAGAAAAAACTGAGGTGAAGAAATCTTTAAGTGTTGAAGTATATTTGAGCAGTTTTCACACTCAAAGAACTGCCTGATAACAAGCTGAGACAACCACTTTCTACAGTCTCCAACTAAATTAAAGAAAAGTTCATAGCTGGAAGCATATTTGAAGTCATAGTCTCAATACAGTTGTCAGTAGAAAATGTTGATAACTGCAGTTCTTTGTTTCAAGTGGCATCTGTTCTCACAGAGGGATTATCTCCCACCAACAAAATAAGAGTGACTCCAAATTCTGTAGAAGACAATTAACTTGATATACATGACAACGTGGGCCAAATCCATGAAAAATTCATTTGATTACTGCCACTATTGTAAAGTAATGTTTCTTTAGCCGACAGAAATGACCACTATCCAAGCTGTGTACTCATCACAACATAATCATACTTGTCACAAAGCTGTATTTGTCCTCTGCTGCTCTGCAGCTCAAAGATCTAGCTAGTCAGATACAGGTATGGAAGCCCTTTAGCTACAAAAAAGCAGTTAAAACATGCACTGAAAGATCACAAATTATGCCCAAACAGTAGAAAAACATGGTGCTTCTGCATAACATAAGGCTACATTTCCATGAAGTATCTCAAGCTATTCAACAGTTTGCTATCAGCTGAAAAGGAAAGCTCTACAGCATCTTGCTCTTCTGAGATGCATATTTTGCAACTTGTCCCCCAAGCCCACCAGAAAACCAAGCAACAAGAAAACAATAGTTTTCTGCTTGCTCAAGGCACAGTCAGCTAACCAAGAGATCAAATAAACTACGGGGCCATGACAAGAGTGAACAACCTACCTCTTCAAAGGGGCAAGGGACTATTAGTTTGGCTCAGTCCAACTCATGGAACTGAGTTGCAGAACATTAGCCATGTCTGCAAACATGAGTTGGATTACTACCTCAAGTAGTCTCAGACTGAACCCTCGCAACAGTTGCAAATTTCATTAAATTAAGAAAGAGCCATTATACCTTCTTCTGATAGCAGAATCCAAAACCCAGGGTATGTTTGTCGCTCCCAAGACCAAGATTCCTTCATTGTCAACACCAACCCCTATATCAGGGCAGAAACCATTTCACTGTTTAGATGATAAACAGAGATTGTTTTAACATGTCAAAATTCAACAGAGTGGAAACACAGATCTTTTTAGTGTTCTCATGCAAGCTACACTTAAAATATGTATCTTAGTTCCTTTGAATGATTCTGAAAACCAAGTAAACTTACCTTGCATCTGGACTAGAAATTCCGTTTTTATCCGTCTAGCAGCCTCACTTTCATTTTCACTTCTAGATCCACAGAGGGAATCTATCTCATCGATGAAGATAATAGAAGGTTTGTTTTCTCTGGCAAGCTGGAACAAGTTTTTCACTAACCTTAAAAAAGGAAACAGCTTCCATTAACTTAATGATTTCACCAGTAAAACCACAAAACTTAAGATTATGATACAGTTACTTCTTTCAGAAAAAGTAAAAAAAAGAGAAGTACTAACATAAAGCAATTTAAAGATACAACATGCTTATACATGATACAACGCTGCATTATACCAAGTGAGGTAGGCCAGCATAAAGGGAGGTGAAACATTTTAGAGTACTCCAGGCATGGTTTTGCAAGAAAAAGCCATTTTTGGTTTACATTTCTACCAGACATCCTGGACTATACAAAACCACCACTCTAAAAAGATTGAAAGAATGTGGCTTTTTCTTACTTAACATTTGTGACCTAATCAGACCAGCTCTAGCAATTTTGTAAGAAATAACACGTACAATTACTTTATACAACTTTATTAAATACTTTTTAAATGACAAGAAAAGTTGGTTTTCCAAAAAATCCCAAACTCCACCTAGCCATACCTTATTAACACATTTTACTAAGTTAAAAAGGAAAATAAACAGGAGCATGATGGGAAATTCCTCACATTACCAGCACTAAATCTCAGGCAATAGTCTCAATGAAGTTGAAGAGAAAAAATGTCAAGCTGGACTCCAGTTCTGTATTCCTTTTCCAACAGAAGAAAAGCAGCTTAAGGTTCCCAGCTTTTGGGGAAAAAAACCCCATTCAAACACTTTATCTAAGGGCCTTTCTTCCTCATCCTATCAACTTTATAGTGTTGCCCAGTTGTCCCACACTTCGAACTATTAAAGCATGGTTTTGACAAGTATTCTCATAATCACATGAAAATCCTTTCTGTGCAACAAACCCAAACCCAGAACTTTGTCTTAATTCAGGAAATCTTCATTGGAAGCCTAGACGGACAAATTCCTGAACTTCTAGACTGCAGCCAACACGTCACTTCAGGCTTCCTGGTCATCTTCATGTATCACATAGTAACAAGTGAAGAAATTTTATTTCATGGCTGCTCCTCTCCTTCAACTTATTTTTGCAAGTCTCTTCCAGATTTTGTTTGTTTGAAATCAGGATAAAGAAAAAAAAAAGTCTGTATAGACAAAGAAATGCCACATGTTAATGGCACAGCTGCTGGGAAAAATTAGTGGAGAGATGCCACCAGGCAGAGTATCCCAACACTACAGACTGATGTAGTGTGCAATCACAGCTGAACGCAGAAGGGGAATGAGCTCCATGGTGCTCCTGAAACCTTTCTGAGACAGTTTTGAAAACTATCCTGAGCAGTGAAGAGGGGTCCAGCTGCAGCAGCACAAAACACAGCACACGATGATATCTTTACATGGTACTGAAGCATGAAGCACAGAAAAACCTGAAGTTTGTTTTTAAAAAGACATGACCCTCCCCTCAAATTCAATTTCTTTACAGCAATTTATCTAGCCAATGTTTTCCTGGACCTTTGGCAACTCCAACTTACTTTTCACTTTCTCCTAACCACTTTGAGACAAGGTCAGAGGAAGATACTGAGAAGAAGGTAGAGTTGTTTGCTTCTGTTGCCACTGCTTTTGCTAAATAAGATTTTCCTGTTCCTGGTGGTCCAAACAGCAGAATCCCTCTCCAGGGTGTTCTCTTTCCTGCAAGAGAGAAACAAGCAGTCTTCAAAATACTGTAGAAAGACTGAACTTATTTTTCTGATGAAGCCCCTCTAATTTACTCAGAGGTTTTCTACATCTACCCATGCAACTTCTGTCAAGGTGGATCACAATCTCTTTGTTAAGAGCTCAACTTGAGTCTCTGATACATCAGCATAACACTCTTCTCAGACCCCCGTGCCGGTCCTGACTGGCTAGTAGCAAATAAATGCTGTAATTCTGACCTGTAAAGAGGTGTGGAAATTTAATTGGCAAGATCACTGCTTCTTTAAGTGCTTCTTTGGCACCTTCAAGGCCAGCAACATCACTCCATTTTACATTTGGTCGCTCCATAACAATTGCTCCTATAAGAAAAGATTGTATAAATTAGTGATGTATGTATCTTTTCACAACTTCAATAACTTTTGTTTCGGGAAAAAAATAATCAAGAAATCTATGACCATGCCCATACTGTATAAAACCAAGGCATTTCTAAGTAGACTAAACACTGAATACTGTTAGTCAAATGGATGTTATTTCTACAGAAATCTGTCACGTTGTTTTCCACAACAAACCACAGATAACCAGAATACTCAAGTTAGTAGAAGTCCTGCAATGGTCAAAGCTAGTCCATAACTGACCAGCAAATGTGTGTTCAGCAGTCACAGATGAGTACTTTCTCTAATAGATAACCAGGCGCCATCTCCTCACTAAACCACTGCTGTACTTTCTTAAAAAAATGAAATTTCATTTTAAACAAGGGAAGCGACATAGCTGCACTAGCCCAGGATTTAGAAGGTTCTCCAGCAGATGAAGTAATTTGTTTGGTATCTCCAGACGTGCAGCAAACAATCGGATGGATCATTGTATTGGGCTTATATCCCCCCTAGTAGCCCTCCCAGTGCTGAGTGTCACCCTGGCAGCCAGCAGGGGGTGTGTCACACATCTTGGGAGGGGGCGGGGCCAGGACAGCTGACCCGGATTGGCTGTTCCATACCATGTGACCTCAGCTCAGCCAGAACAGCCCAGGGCAGGAGGAGGAGGGGGGCATTGGTTACTGGGTTTGTCTCCAGGAGCAGCTGCTGCACACACTGAAGCTCTGCTTTCCTGGGAAGTGGCCGGACATCGCTTACTGAGGGGAAGTGGAGAATAACATCTTTGTTTACCTTTAGTTTCTGTGCATGGCCCTGGCCTTTGCTTTAATTAAACTGGTTTTATCTTGACCCACGAGTCTTTCATCTTATTCTCCCCCTTTATTTTGCTGAAGGGGGGAGCGATAGAGGGGCCTGGTGGGGACCTGGCATCCAGCCAAGGTTAACCCACCACAATCATCTAATGGTAAAGAACTTTGAGAGCTAGGGCTGAAAGCACTAGAAAGGTTACATGGAGCCTGCTTAGCTGCAGATGAAGGGTCTTCTCAGTCTAGACACATTCTCTCAAAGTTTATCACCAAGTCTCATCTCGCTTAATCAAGAAGTTCAGCTTGATTTCAGCTAACTGAGCTGTAATTTAGCATTCTCTTCAGACTTCAGATTAGTTAGTCTGACATGCTAAGAATTATTCTGTCTTGACTACTTTTAGGCGGGACAACTTGTACGTGAGCTAGTAATTGAATATTAGATCTTGTAATCCTAGCAAAGGCAAATACAAAGAGTAAGAGAAATTTTTCTCAGATGAACACATGCCAGCCAACCCAATGGTTATCTAAGTACTCAAACGCACTGAAAGTTTCAGTTGCCCTACTTCTCTACAAGGGGCTCCCTATAATTTCACAATTGGCTTTCACCAGCTGTTACCTTGACACTTTCACATTATGCCTTCAGAGCTTTGGGGAGTAATTTAAGGCTTTTTTCCTTCTACAGGATTGAAAATTTACTGTTTCTTACTGGCCAACGAATAAATCAAATAATGCTTGCTTTCTTAGTATCTCTTTTGAGATTTTTTCTTTTGTTGCATTCCTTTTCTAGCAGATTGAAATGAACAATTTCTGTTAAAAACTGCAGTTTTTAACAGTTTGGAATTTAGAGTCCAAAAGCAACATCATATTGGCAAAGATGTTAAAAGTGTTATAAAGCTGACTGCAAACTGTCTTAGCTTGCAATCTATATACTGGAATTAATTTAACCACCCACTTCCAATGCATTAAATTATTTTGCTAGGTTGATTACCTCTCAGTTTTTCTTACAGTAAAAAGAACTATGGGCTCCATCACTAAAATAATTAGCGGGACAGGTGACAGTTCAGATACAGAAGAATGTTTCAAAGTTGAAATATCAGAGTTATCTGCACCAGACATACCATGGTAACTGAAATTACTGCATGTAAGAGATTACCTGTACCAGGACACAAATAGAACTGTAAATGGAACTGCTTCCTAATTTTGTAGGTGTAAATTAATAGCTGGAAGATTAAGCAATAGAGTGGAAAAGGCCTCTAAAATTCTAAAACGGAGTACATAACAAAAGACCCACAACTGCTATCCAGTTTGAATGTTGCTGGTCATTTCCCACAGTAAGTCAAGTTGCTATTAAAATAAAAATCTTAATAAATACCCACAGATTTGGGAAAGTTCCATAAGGTAAAGTCAGCTAGGAGTGACAAGGCAACAAAATTAAATACAGGAATTTTCTGTTGCTGTTGTGGAAGCAAAATGCAAATGAGTCATTTGAAGGCTGCCCAGAGCTTGTATTAGATATCTGAGTAACAGGTTCCTGTGTTAAGTTTAAAGGTACCATTGATCTCACACCGCAGACTTTCAAGAAATCAAATGTATAAGCAAGAACTCTGTCATTTTATAAGTATCAAAGAAGTGATGGGTGCAAGAAGCTATTTCTTAAGCAAGAACTGAAGGTCAGATTCAAAAGAAACAAAGTCTTTATACTGAGAGACAGGATAAGAGTCCAGTGCTCATCATTCTTCTGTCATTTTAAAATATAGGCAACTGTCCCATATAACTTTGCATAAGATATGCAGAGAAATATAAAAAGCATGGCGCAGTTTACAAATATGATACAATAGTTCCTCAAATTACACAGGCAGAGAGATCCGGTAAATGCATTTAGTCTTTGTGAACTGAAAAACAGGGGGAGAACAATGAAATTTCTTCAGATCCATAAGCACCTTCTGGAAGGGAAGCTCTGAACAGTTCTTCACCACTAAAGGGTAATAAATATCAAACAAAGCCGCCTTTTTACTGTGTACAAAACTACTGGCAGCTGCTATACGTTGCATCACTGACTGTATTCAGCATTTGAGTTCAAAACCCCTAACTATTATGTTAGCCAACTGGGAGAGTGTGGAGTGTGCGGAAGATAACTTCCTGACA